TATACGGCTGGACCAATATTTATGTTATAACGAGTAACAGGCCAATTTTATTAATTTTAAAAAAAGAATTAGGGTTCCGCGCAAAAAATTTAAAAACCATGAAATCCAATCGTAATATTCCACGCGGGCGAAGACGCATGGAACAGCCGGTATTAAATATACGTAATTATTAAAAGTTATGTGGTATGTTTTACTCTAAAACAGTATTTATTTGCCTTGGCGCTATCTTTTAGATAAACGGTCTCTTGGCCGATTTCAAACACGGCTTAAATATTAGAAGAATTATATAAATAAATATGAAGATCAGCACTCCTCTTAAATCGCTTTCAACGGTCATTGTAACCTCTGTCGTAAAAGTTGTATAATAAGCAATGCCGCATACGCGCTGTCGCACCTCAATGAGTACATCGGTTCATTAAATGCAGTTTTTTAGCGGATATAATTAACTATTGTGAGCAAATGGAAACGCAGACCTCTAAGCTCACAATCGTCAATTATAGGTACTTACTGTTTTGAATTTGTGGTAGAGAAAATTTTGGTTCAAAATTTACTAATTTGTATTTAACTACATGCTGCCGTATGAGGAAGCTGAAGGTCGCTCAGGGGGCTATGCAGAGAACTATGCTCGAGGTTTCCCTGCATGCTAAACTTAGAAATAGGAATATCCGCAGTGGAACCAGAGTGACCAACATAGCCCAACGGATACAGTAAGCTGAAGTGGCAATCGGTTGACCATATAGCTCGAAGATCACAACCAATGGGGAAAAACTGTTCGACCTCGTAACAGTAGGTGAAGTGTAGGACATGGAGTGACGACCTGGTAAGACATGCAGGTTCTCGATGGATGCAGGTGGTTCAGGACCGTGTTTTGTGACATTCCTTGGGGGACACCTATGTTCAGCAGTGGACTTGTGGAGGGCTGTAATGATGATGACGATTTAACTACAGGTCATCTTAGACCTTTAGAACCTTACGTATCGGTGAAGATAGTGTTACCAGATCCCACAAGGAGTTTTCCTGGCAATATACCTGACTTTCCAATAAATTTCCTGACATTGACACAGAGGCAGCAAATAGTCTGAGAGCTGGTAAACATTTTTGGGTAGGTATTTGACAAGTTTTCAGCGCGCCTCAAATAGCTACCCAAAAATATATTTTCTTATACGATAGGCTGACAAACGAACACCTGACGATAAGTGGTTGCTGTGACTCATAGACATCTACATTCTACATATATCCTCAATAAAGAATCAAAATGCAGATGTGTTGTCATCCTTGAGGACTAATAAAACTAAGATGGAATGCCTCTTTTCCAGTAAAAAGGGTCTCTGGTTCACTACACTCACCATACGAAACACAGCAGTGTTAAGCTGCTATTTTACGCTGGGATTCTGGGAGAGCGTGGTCCTTCCTCGGTTGAGCCGACCCATTCGTGCTACAACTATACTACTAATATAGCTGCAGCATGGTTCTACCACGTATGGAAACCGGCTCTCCTAATAATATATTATATATATATATATATATATATATATAGTAAAAACTCGCGCATGTGCTTGACATATGCGCAATAAAAAGTACAATCCAGATCAGATGAATAAAATAATTTAAATTCGAGATTGATTCATATATTATTATTTTTGTATGTAAACTGTTTAATAAATATATTAATTTGTACTTGTAAAATTTTTCCATTTCTATTTAAAAATTCCTGACAATTTCAAATTTTTCCTGTTTCCCTGACAGAGAGCTAAACTTCCGGACATGTCAGGAAAATTCTTGTCATCTGGTAACCCTAAGTGAAGAGAACAAATTTTTTTTTTGAGAGTTTTGGCGGGAAATTGACCGGCGGCGGTTTGCTGCTCCTGTATTATTGTTTAAATAATGGTTTGAAGTGGACTTTGATATGTAAAAGTGTTGCGATTTTGTGTATTAAGTGTCTACGCATGTGAACTATTAGTGGAAACAGTGAAACAAGTGCTCTGATGGTGATGGATTCTCAAGATAAGCTATTTGTTTGCATAGGCACCTTTAGATACCATCGCCAACTATCAGCTGTCTGCTGGATCAAGTTGCCGCCAAAATCTCCCAAGAACTGCACAATGTGACGCATCAACATATTGTGAAGCAGTATACTATGAAGGAGTGGGGAAATTACAATAAACCGAATAAAAATACTTTAGACTTGGCCTAAAGGTCTAGATACCAGGCCATAAACTCCAAAAAAAAAAATTTTTTTTCAGTGCATCATATGTTTAAATTAATAAAAGTAAACCATTATAAGAGTATTTATTTGTTGCTAGGAGTACCGATAGGTTAATCATTAAATTATGAATAATTGACATAAGATATCATTATAAAAAATAACGCATAATTTAGGCGTTCAAAGTGTAGCATTAAATGAAACTAGTTTGTACTACGAATTTCATTGCGAAACGTGGAGAATATAAAATAGTTTACTAAACGCATTAAAGTTAATAAATCCGTAAAAACTAGTTTCATTCAATAGAAAATTTTAATTTTTGACACTACATTTAATTTGAATATCCAAAAAAATCTTGTTATTTCATAGTTTTTAAGTTTTCACTTTTGTCGGCAGTCCCTAACCACAATGACTGCCAATTTTTATTTCTTTTTTCCTCTTTGCTCTTAAGTTATTATTACATAAATTTCGTGCTAGTAATAGGTTTTATTTTTTATTTTTGTATAGGATAAGGGTGACAAGCGAGCACACAGTCCACTTGGTGGTAAGTGGTTGCTGTGGCCCATAGATATAGTTGACATCTATCCTCGTTTGCGAATTAAAATGCAGATGCGCTGTCATACGTGAGGACTGAGATGGAATGCCTCTTTCCAGTAAAAAGCGAGCGAGCGTCAATCACCCTGACGATAAGACAATGTATACATTGGAAGAGGCCCGTGTCCAGCTGTGGTCATTTACGGGTTGAAAGACAAGATTAAACAAAAGAAAACAAGATAAAAGAAGAGAATAAAATTAAGACTATGTTTATTTTTGAACATCGCCACGACTCTACCAGTAGATGGCACACCGAACAGTTGTATTAAAAGTCAGTCACAAGATGGCGTTACTAGTATTTCTAAACGCGATACTGTTTGAACATTTGATAAGACACTGGTTTCGTGCAATCGTGCAGTTACTACAAAATGATTGCAGTGATGAACTTAGTTAATACTCATCAATTTTTGAGAGACTTACATTGTAAGTCTTAATAACTATTAGAGGTGGGCGATACTGGGTTACTAGGGGTGTTCACTTTTAAAATACATCGATGTTTTTTTTCGATGTGATGCAAAGAGACTGTTTTTTGTTTTATAGGATGAGGGTGACAAACGAGCACACAGTCTGACAGTCCACCTGATGGTAAGTGGTCGCTGTGGCCCATAGACATCTACATCTATCTTCGATTAAGAGTCAAAATGCAGATGCGTTGTCACCCGTGAGGACTAAGATGGAATGTCTCGTTTCCAGTAAAAAGGGTCTCCGGTTCTCTACACTCACCATACGAAACACAGCAGCGTTAAGCTGCTATTTTACGCTGGTATTCTGTGAGAGCGTGGTCCTTCCCCGGTCGAGCCGACCCATTCGTGCTACAACCATAATATAGATGCAGCATGGCTCTACCACGTATAAAATCGCATCGATGTATTCCGATGTATCGGTTAGAAACTGGTTTTTCAACATCGAGTACTTTTTATGACTTTACTTTATAAATCTGTAGTCAACTTCCTGACACCCCGTTCAAACAACCGACAATTTTGAATGATCTCCTACTCTTACATCAGCACTGCCTTTGTCTGCACGCCTTTTGTGAGTGTGTTTGTGTGTATTCAAGGATGTTAGACAGTTAGATAGATATTCTTTATTGCACGAAACACAAAGTGTGTTAATCTTAAGAACTAATATATTGTTAACAGACGTATATTTTCATAGTTATTTATATTTATTTATTTAAACTTTAATACACAAAAGAAAAATCGTGCATACGGCGGACTTAATGTCTTAAGGCATTCTCTCCCAGTCAATTATTTTCAATTAGTTATTTATTTTTTATTTTGTTTTTATTCTATACCGCTACACCACGTCAAATTCTCATCACTCCATGGGTTGACTGGTAGAGAATGCCTCAAGGCATTAAGTCCGCCCTTTGTATTCTTTTATATTAAGGAATGCAATAAATAATAAATAAATTATTATTTATGATCATTGACCTACTACTAAATGGACGGCGGGTTTAGAACAAAATTCACGAAAAATGTGTCCCCTCAACCTATATTATATATTTAATTTTATTTGTGACAATTTATCAGCCGTTCAACTTCAACCAGAGGCTGTTCATCTTATGCAGCTTCTAGCGAAAATAATCGGTATGATTTTTTGTTTTTACAATTAATGTGAATTTAATTTAAATACTACGTATCTTGTATCTAAGCAAAATATTACTTTTAAACTATTAAATATTAATAGTCGAAAATATATACAAATATAAATAGTTTCGCTCATTTTGTGATACAGTACAGCATTTTGGAGTGTATTATCGGACGACAAAACGAAGACTAGTCTTTTTACGAGGTTCAAACTAACTTCTCAGACCCTTAAGATCTAGGAATGTGTCCTCGTAAAAAGACTATCAAAAATTACAAAAATTACACCAAACCAGTGTGGATTCACTAGTGGAGTGGGCACTATAGATGCAATTCACTCAGTGAAAATACTCATGGAAAAGTACAAGTCACGCAAACAAGATCTTCACCTTATTTTCATTGATCTCGAAAAGGCGTTTGACCGAGTTCCTAGAGAGCTAATCTGGCAAGCACTAAGAGCGCAGTTGGTGCAGGAACATTATATTGAGCTCCTCAAAGATCTGTACCACGACGTAACAACAAAAGTGGTCGGCCCAGCAGGGAAAAGTGAACCATTTGAAGTCGGAGTGGGGGTTCACCAGGGCTCAACCGTTAGCCCTCTCCTATTCAACCTAGTAATGGACTATATCACTATGGACATTCAGAAATCAGCACCGTGGTCACTTCTATACGCTGATGATGTAGTACTCATAGCCGAGTCGTTGACAGAAGTACAATCAGACCTGACACTATGGCAGGAGTCCTTAGAAAGAAGAGGGATGAGAGTGAATAGAGAGAAGACTGTATACATGTACTGTAACTTTTCTGGTGCCAAAATGGATGTTACTCCACATGTCCATCTATCGAAGGTCGACCTCTTAAAAGAGTTCAAGAGTTTAAGTATCTCGGATCCATTGTAGCACCAATGGCATGTTTTCTGTACATGCCTTTGGTGCTACAATGGATCCGAGATACTTAAACTCTTGAGATATACAAAACAGAACCCAAACAGCTTGGTTAAAATGGAGATCGCTGTCTGGTGTACTATGCGACTCCCGTATGCCTATTAAAATAAAGGGCAATATATACAAAAGAGCAGTAAGACCAGCTCTGCTATATGGATCGGAGTGCTGGTCGATGAGAAAGACGGACGAACAAAAACTTCACGTCACTGAAATGAAAATGTTACGTTGGTTAGGAGGAGTTTCTAAAATGGATAGAATAAGAAACTGTTATATCCGTGGTAGTTTCAAGGTTGCTATGGTGCACGAGAAGCTTAGAGAAAACCGTATGCGTTGGTACGGACACGTGATGAGACGAGATGATAGCCATGTTACTAAAAAAGTTATGAACATAGAAGAGGGGAAGAAAGGCCGAAGACGACCACCAATAACCTGGCTGCAAACAATAAAAAACGACCTGAAATCTACTAACATGCCAGAAACGACTACCCACAATCGCACGATGTGGCGCAAGATTACTAGGAGGGCTGACCCCAATTAAATTGGGACAATAGCCAGGGAAAAGAAGAAGAAGAAGAACAATATACCTACCATCAAGCAATATAAGGGAAACCTGTTATTGGCCATACCTTTAGTTTGTTACATTAATGTTAATATTTACTATATACGCTGTTGGTTTTCTAAATAAATATGTAAATAAATAATTATACAGCTTGTCATGATATAAAAGAGGATCATCTCCTGATTTGTTTTCCTCTGTCGCCTCTTACGACACCCACGGGATGATATTTTTTATAGTATAGAGTGACAAACGAACACACAGTCCACCTGATAGTAAGTGTATGCTGTGGCTCATAGACATCTACATTTATTCTCAACTGAGAGTCAAAATGTAGATGCGATGCCACCCCTGACGACTAAGATGGAATTCCTCGTTTCGAGTAAAAAGGGTCTTCGGTTCTCTACACTCACCATACTATACACAGCAGCATTAAGCTACTATTTAACGGTTTACGCTGGTATTCTGTTAGAGCGTGGTCCTACCCCGGTTGAAGCGACCCCTTCGTGCTGCAACCATAATATTGCTGCAGTGTGACTACATAGAAAATTAAGGAATTTATGGATGATAATAAACCCTGGGAATGAGGTGATCTACCATGCTGTTTCTAAATTGTTTTGTGTTGTTTATTATTGTGTAGCTTTAATTATTGTAGCTATCTTATTTTTTACTGTGTGATGTGAAAATATTGAATAATTGAAGTTAAGATGAAGTTTGATCGCAGTATCAGTAACAACTACGTCTAAAAACCTATTTGATAAATTTAATAAGACTTGATGATGTCTAATCAATTAGCGTTGCTTCGTACCTTAATTTACCGGATATGATTTATATTATCGTTATTTATTACTTCATGGCAAAATTGCACGCCAACGGCAAAGTTACGGCCCTAAGCCTCGTCGTCAATCCATAGACTTCCTTCATCTTTTACCAGGTCATAACTCCATATAGTGGGGAGCCCACGAGAACTTTTCGTCCCTTTGTCGGTTCTTCGAGCTATATGGCCGACGCATTGCCACTTCAGCTTACTACTGGCAATGTCGATTACTCTGATTTTCCTTTATTCTAATGCGGATATCCTCATTGCGAAGTCCAACACGCAGTAAACCTTCAAGCATAGCCCTTTCCATAGTTCTCTGAACGAACTCGAGCTTCCTCATAAGATCAGCATTGCATGACCACGTCTCAGATCCATATAACATAAGTGACAACAGGCACTGGTTTCGTTTTTCGGTATAAATATAGTTATTGTACACAGATTAAAAAAATAATTATAATGACAGGTGTCTGACTCACCCAGATTATCTAGGACTGTCCCATAATAGTATTTGTGAACGCGGGTTGTAAATGCTTATTTTAGTCTAAAATCCTACTCTATGCAAAATTCCGTTTCGTTGCATTGACGAATATCAAGCGAACATGAAAATCCCAAAATTTAATATTCCTGACAAAAGCATGGAATAACATTGTTGTTAAGGAAAATGGACTTTCCAATAGTAACATCTATCCGCGGTCTCATATAGCAACATAGATAATTTTATTTGGCTACAATGTTGTAATAACACATTACTCGTATGTTTTTGCTTTTATTTTATGTTTTTTTTTTTTTTTTTTATAGGAGAGGGGGCAAACGAGCATGCGGCTCACCTGATGGTAAGTGACTACCGCCGCCCATGAACAACCGCAACACCAGGAGAATTGCAGATGCGTTGCCGGCCTTTTAAAAAGGAGTAGGCTCTTTTCTTGAAGGTCCCTAAGTCGTATCGGTCCGGAAAAATCGCTGGTGGTAAACTATTCCACAAGGAAGTTGTGCGAGGAAGAAAACATCTTCTAAATCGCACAGTGGTGGACCGCCAATCATCCAGATGGTGTGGATGGTATCGGGAGTTCTGCCGCGATGTGCGTTCGTGAAATTTGGCGGCTGGGATTAATCCGAACAATTCCTCAGAGCACTCCCCATGGTAAATGCGAAAGAAAATGCTAAGAGATGCAACATCTCTTCGCAGTGCCAATGAGTCGAGCCGATCGGAAAGGACTCGGTCGTCGACGATTCGAGCCGCTCTGCGCTGGATGCGGTCAAGTGGAAGAAGCTGGCACTGGGGAGCCCCAGCCCAGAGATGGGAACAGTATTCCATGTGAGGCCGAACCTGCGCCTTGTAAAGTTGCAGGCGTTGAGCCGGCATGAAATACTGTCCCGCTCTGCTGAGCACGCCAAGCTTTTTAGAGGCCAATTTGGCCTTCTCTTCCAAGTGACCACGAAACTGCACGCTACTCGATATGTCGACGCCAAGGATTCCGATACTGGCTGAGGCAACAAGGGGAGTACCTTGAAACTGAGGAGATACGACAAAGGGGTTCTTTTTAGCGGTAAACGCGCAAACTTGTGTCTTCTGAGGATTAAACTGGACTAGATTTAGTCGCCCCCAATCCGAGACTTTGTCCAGCAAAGACTCGACTTCAGACACAAGTTTGTTCCGGTACTCGGTGACGTTTTCCCGAGAAATATTGGCACGGCCGGTGTATAGAGCATCACCAGTGCTGTCATCTGCATAGCAATGAATGCTACCAGCTTGCAACATATCATTGATATGCAGAAGAAACAGCGTTGGTGATAGCACGCAGCCTTGTGGAACACCAGCGTTAATAGGCTTGTAGTCGGAGCATGTACCGTCTACAACGACCTTGATGCTCCGATCTGCAAGAAAGCTGGTGATCCAATTGCATAATTTCTCGGGAAGCCCATAGGAAGGGAGCTTCGAAAGAAGCGCTTTGTGCCAAACCCGATCGAAGGCCTTCGCAATGTCCAAACTAACGGCCAATGCCTCCCCCTTGGACTCTACTGCCAACGCCCATCTATGAGTTAAGTAGACCAGAAGATCACCAGCTGATCGACCCCGACGAAAACCGTACTGGCGGTCACTAATCAGCTGGTGATCCTCAAGGTACCGCATGAGGTGGCAGTTTACAACGGATTCCATTATTTTGGAGAACAAGGGGGTGATGGCGATAGGCCTGTAGTTGGACGGATCTGAGCGGTCGCCTTTTTTAGGGATCGGGTGGACAAAAGCTGTCTTCCATGATTTCGGGACTACGCCTAGGGAGTAGGAGTACCGGAAAAGACGCGTTAGAACCGGTGCCAACTCCGGAGCACACGTCCTCAGCACAATTGGGGGGATTCCGTCAGGCCCACTCGACTTGTGGATGTCAAGGGAGAGGAGTGCTCTGCGAACCGAGCGCTGTGAGAATCGCACATCCGGCATGGAGCACTCACACCGCGGGATGGTCGGCGGTGTGTTCCCCCCGTCATCAACAGTCGAGTTGGACGCAAAAAGGGAGCCTAAAAGGTCGGCCTTCTCTTTTGCGTCGTGGGCCAGTGAGTCGTCCTCCCTGTGCAGAGATGGTAGTGATGGCTTACAGAAATTCCCTTGGACAGCCTTGGCGAGAGACCAGAATGCACGGGTTCCCGAAGGAAGGCGAACTAGTTTCTCGCCAATTCTGCCTATGTGCTCTGACTTTGCCTTGGCAATAACTCTTTTGAAGGACCTGGAGGCGAAGTTATACTTCTTTTTGAGTGTGCTGGTGTTTACATCCCGAGTCACCGAAGCCGCAGCCCAGGCTTGATAACACTCCTGCTTACTGCGTAATGCAGTCTTACAGGAGCGACCAAACCAAGGCTGAGATCTGCCTCCGATGGGTACCACAGATGATGGAATAAATAGTTCCATTCCCTGTAGCACTACATCAGTGACAGAGTCAGCAACAGCGCTGGGATCATCCGGCGAGAAGCAAACCCGCCCCCATGGGTAGGAAGCAAAGAAAGACCGCATTCCGTCCCAATCCGCCGACCTGTAATGCCAAACACGGCGGCAACCTGCAGAACGCAACCGCGAAGGGGGCGTGAGTGGCACCACACTCCGGATCAGACAATGGTCCGAAGAGCCAAGAGGGGCATCGACGGAAACCTGATATCCGTCCGGATGAGAGGTCAGCAGAAGGTCCAACAGGGAAGGTGTATGATCCTCAACATCTGGAATCCGCGTAGGCGATGTAACCAGTTGTGTCAGACCATATGCCAAGGCAAAGTCATAAACAGATCTCCCCGCATGATCGGTTAAACGTGAACCGAGCCATTCGGCGTGGTGGGCGTTAAAATCGCCAAGGATCACGATCTCTGCGGATGGGACCTGTTGTAGCAAGGAATCTGTAGCCATTTGGACGTGGTTGATGAGTCGGTCTGTTTCGGCATTACCGCTATGGGACCTATAGAGGCACACGTAGACGCGCGGATGGTCGTCGCTGTCTACGCGTAGCCAAAGGATGGACAGGTCCGAACCTTCAAGACTGCCGAGGCGTCGAGAACAGATGTCCTCTCTGACATACACGCAAACTCCAGCCCGAGGCACAAAGGAGTGCTCCAATTTGTACCCCGGGTAGGAGAGATACGAAGTATCAGCCGGAGAGGACACCTGCGTCTCGGTCAGAAAGAGCAAGGCCGGCTTCGCCGTCTCAAGATGGTAGTGGACGGCGTTTAAGTTCGAGTGAAGTCCCCTGATGTTGCAGAAATTCACGGATAGCGTGGCAGGGGTCGCCTTGGTCTTGTTGCTCAGTTTGCCCCGAGCAGTTATTGTGTTGAGCGGAAGTTTGCCCCCCCCAGAATACGCGGGGCAGCCTGAGCACCCACGCTCAGGAGTGGAATAGCATGGTCGTGGATGCACAGCGAGGGATTCTCCAGGGGTACTGGTACCCTCCTGGGGTAGTTTTTGACGTAATTCCGCTACCATGTTGATGGGGGGGGGGGGGGGGGGAATTGAGCATCCGGTCACCTGCACTCACCAGACGAAACGCGGAAGCAGAGCTTCCACTTCACGCCGGTATTCTGTGAGGTCGTGGTACTAACCCAGCTCGAGCCGGCCCATACGTGCAACAGCAAAATCTGCTGCAAGGCTCTACCACCGTTAAAATGTTAGTTATGTATTTCTGTTTACGTATTTAATGTTACGTGTTTTATATTTTATATATATAGCTTCATGTTGTGTTATTAGGCCTAAATAATGTGCCTTAGCGTAATCTTGCCTTAGCTCTTATCCTAATAGTGTTTTTTATTGTTTACTTTCTAGTTATCTGTTTACACATGATTACCTACTCTGGCAATTATGCGTTCGTTACGGAATGGAGGATAAGAAATAAGAAAAAGTTAAATAATATAATATTATTAAATATATATATTTCAATCATAACTGCTAGGTGCCTTCTGTGGCTTCTTTGTACTGTTCGCACCAATGACCAGGGCTCTTATCAAATGCCTGAAAAGAATAGAAAAAAATATAAAACACACGATATTGATAAAAAAAAAACATAACAGCGCCTAGAAATTTAACAGCTTCCACGAATGATTGTTATTATTATTAATTAATATATGCAGAGACATGGTACACAGACTTTTCCCGGTCGTGCCGACCCATACGTACGGGAACCATATATAATAGGTTGTTGCGTCGCTACCACAGTCGAAACATCCCTCCTTACTCCTCTAACAGCATGTAAAATAAATATCAATTTAAAGTTTGAACGCGGTCAGCTATATTTATTTCAACACAATAGTGACTTCACATTTCAATAAACAGTTTTCAGCAGTTGTAAGGGGCCTGCACTTTACTATTTTAAAGCACTTCATTTTATTGGGAAGTTCAAATAAACTCTGACATTAAGTTTTAAAAGCAACAACATTCAAATAATAATTTTTCTTATTGAACAGAAAATGCATGACAAATATTTTCATTTGAAACCAGTGTCGAAAAATTGGGATGACAGTATACTAGCAAACTAATAATTGAAAATTAAAAATTTGTACAACTGACTTCAATATAAATTATTAAGAATAACTTAGAAACTATTGGTCAGACTTTGATCAAATTGGGACATATAGGACCACATGAGAAGCACCAGCTTTCAAATAAAAAAGAATCATCGAAATCAGTTCAGCCAGAAAAATTACGAGGTTGTTACCTCATACATAAAAAAAACATACAGTCGAATTGACTACCATCTCCTTTTTGAAGTCGGTAGAAAAGGAACGACTTCACAGTATACTGAATTGACATGACACCTTACAGTGGTCACAGTGTATATCGGAACATACTCTATATACGTCTCCGGCAAATCGAAGGTGAGAAATGTTAATAGTGCTTCTTTTCTAATCGAGTAGCTTGAAAACATCTTCTAATGAAACTACAGGGATATAACGTGACCCTGTTTTAGACCTCTTTGCAAATGGATAGCTGTCATGCTCAGAATCTGTATTTGGATAGACATAGTAGCGTTAATGTAACAATTTTAATTGGTATAGTAGAAGCATGTCTCTGATGTCCTCCAAAACCGAATTTCGGTCACAGCGGCCATCGGCGCAGGACAGGATTACAGTGCACGAGCACATGTGTAGGTCTCTTCCCTCACTCTGATAGTCCGATGGGACGGCAATAAGACACGACACACCACTAACTTTCTAACTCCGGCCTGCTACTGAGAATATCTTTACAGAAAAATCCAATCACTGATTTTGCCCTGATCCGGGACCTCTGAAGCTTTTATGTGTAAATTGAAATTATTTTATTCATTTTATTTGTTCGAGCTTTTACTTTTTATTAAGGTAATTATTTTCTATCTTTTTTTGTGACTAAGGAATATTATAAACTAGAATGTCGCCTAAATAGTTACATTAAAAACTTCGTCCCATATTTTCCCACCCTTTAGGGCTGAAATTTTTTCCCAGATTCATATGGGACCACCCCTAAAGTATAACTAATTTAATCAAAAAAAAAAAGAATCATTAAAATCGGTTCACATGAAGACACAGTCGAATTGAGAACCTCCTTCTTTGTACTGACTGTAAGTTCGCATGTCACTTCAGTTTTATTTAAAAAAAAAAATCCAAGCTGTACAACCCGACACGTGTTTGGTATATATGAGATAGAATACATACTTCGGCCATTTTCTTGAGAAGATACATTTTAGGTGCTTCTTCTATCGCCCTTTGTCCCCACTCGAAAACGTTTCTTGCTAATTCACCATCTCCAACCTTAAATTAAAATAATCATGCTTTAAATGAGCTACGGTAGCAGAGGGACAGGGCACTTGCCTTAAATAAACACACGCATTTTTAAAAATTAAATATTAAATCTTTTTGATTTTTCTTATCCTCACATTATCATCCAAATCTGAGCTATATTCAAAATTTCAAGTCTCAAGCTCATCGGGAAATTATTTTAATATTAATTACTAACAAACGAGCACACAGTCAACCTGATTGTAAGTGGATGCTGTGGCCCATAGACATCTAATTCATCTTCGATTAAGAATAAAAATGCAGATGCGTTATAACCCCTGAGGACTACATTGGAATGACTTATTTCCAGTAAAAAGGATCTCTGGTTCTTTACACGCACCATAAGAAACAGAGCTGCATTAAGCTGCTATTTACGCTGGTATTCTGTGAGACGTGGTCCTTCCCCTGCAGCGTGGATCTACCACGTATAAATTCAACCCTAACAGACATACACGAAAGCTAATTAATAAAACCGAGGTAATAACAAAGTATGCAAGTAACCAAAGTTAAATCTGGCACCCGAGAGTTGTTATTCGTAAATGAAGCCAGTTTCATTAGTTCTGGTGATTGGGATTCAAAATGGTTGTTTAGACATTCAAATTAGCTATCACAGTTTGTCATCTTCAATATGCTAATCAAGCTGCCTAATACTGCTGTTTTGTATGGTTATTGACGGGAACCTGAGACCCGTTTTACTGGTAACAAGACATTCCATCTTAGTTCTTATTGTAACCAACCATTTTGATTCTTAATTGAGGACAGATGGTGTCTATGGGCCACAGTATCCACTGACTATTACATGTACCAGTCGCGGCACGTAAGTATAGCGCTGAACGGAACGTGGATGGGATAGCTGCGCATGGGTACTGTCGCGCACAAATAGAATTGCACGAATGCGACTGGAGAGCCAATCAGCGTGTGCGAACGATACGCACGTCCGCCCCGCGACGAGCTTATTATTCCATGATACCTTATTTTCGACTTATGCGCAATAACAGTCACCGCTAGACTTTCGTGCCGCTATTTATACTGAGTTTGTTTGTCACCCTTCTTCTATAAAATAAAATAAAACTTGTCTTTCCCTTCTAGTCTATTCATTCAATCATTCATTACTCCTTAACAGAAGTCTACTGCTGAACATTCAGTCTCTATTGAGTTTTTTATTGTTTTATTATCACTGTTTCATTCCCTTCAGTCGCCTCTTACGACACACACAGAATGATATAAGATAGTACAGATCTTCTCACAATTCCAGTTTCTAGATTATTTCTAGATTACCTACTTTATTTTTTTACCCATTTACAATTTACGGGATCATCTTTCGAAAACAACGGCGTCTATATAAGTATAACATCAATTAATACTCATTTATATATATCATACATTTATGTGTATATATAATGTGTGTTAAAGATAATTGGTATATACGGATTATTACGTATTTGTGTAATTTATAAGCCTATTATATGTTAAATATGTATTTGTTTATTATATTTAGTTTTTTAAGGCACCTGCCACGATTCTATCACCACTTCACCACGGGTTGACTGGCAGAAAATGGTAACTGGCATTAAGTCCGCCTTTTGTAACTTTTATGGTCGAAACAATAAAGTTCTTTAATAAATAAATAAATTTTATATAAATTATTTTTAAATAACTCACCTTGTTGTATTGTAAGTACATTTGTCTTGTCATCGTGTTTGTTAAAAGTTTGCGTCCAGCATAATCGTTTTCTTCTAGCAAGCCCGCTTCAGTAAGAAATTTCCACATATCATCTGTTGATCAATTCATTATTTTGCATTATAAAAACTTGGAGAGGATTCAATTGAAACAAGCGTGTGAGGTACTACCGTAAATCGATACGCAACAGTGACAAACAGCCCGGGCCTATCGAGAATTCGAATTTTGAAGGGACAAACGCAATTGGTCATAACGGTCCAAAACACAATATTATAATATAATGTTACATATTAGTTCTTTGCATTTATCCTTCATCATAGAAATTTTATTACATCCTTACGTTTTTATATTATATGCAAATACAATTAAAAGCAAGATTTTCATTATTGATTTCATTTAAATCAATATATGCATCACCCAAGAGCGCCTGCCGCGTCCAAGATCAGGATCCAGGAGAACAATTATGTGTTTGACATTAGCAGTATGAACATACACAATGCATGTTTTATTTAACTTAATTTCATATAAATTTTAACTATACCAAATGTCAGGACTTTACATACTTTCAGTGGCACGGGAGTGAAACACCGCCAACTTCCTGATTCCAGGCTGCTAGTGGGAATTTCTTGACAGAAAAAAACCAATAACTGATTTTGGCCACATGGGATTCAAACTCAGGACCTCATCAGCAATCGTCTTTACGATACTAGACCAAGAGGCAGTCATAGATAGTATATCAATATGATAAGTATATTCATATGTAAGTTGAATAAATTAGCTGTAAGACATCTTTCACCACTTCTGTGGCCACTGCATGTGTCCATGGGAAAGAATAAGCTTGCCTTTATATGAAAAACTTATCAAATTAAAGCAATACTTGCACCATTAGTATAGCTTTCTGTAATAGCAACATTTTATGGTAAGAAAAATTACTGAGTTTTTTAGTTTTAAAAATAATGGCAAGATGGTAATTTTGCAAAATTGCAAAAACTTTTAGGAGTAAGCAAGCTGAAAGGGCAATTGGCCGGCCATAATATAGGTAGAAGAACCGACATGTGATGCTAAAGAAAAGCTCCCAGGTGGCAGCCTCGTACTTAACGATAGCGTAGACGTGAAGTGTACAGCGGCCTATTACTAGATGGAGTGACTACCTGGTAAAAAATGGAGAAATGCATCTAGCTCAACATCGAGTTTTGTGGCGTTCTTTGTAGAGCTGTAATATGATAACTGATATATAGTTGTAGATGTTTAAGCCTTACAAACCTACTTTTACAGTTCCACCAGACATATATATATGAGTTAGTGCCGCATTTAATAATCTTCGTTGTTGGGGGTCGGAGACACTTGAATGTAAAGAATTACATTCATCATTTAGTACCACAATGTACTGTACCCCACTCTTTGTGTCCACTTGTATCAATTTGTATCCATATACCTGTCAAATAGTACAAATTTTTTAACAGACTACAAAAGCAAGATTTTTATTTTATTTTATATTAGTAGTATAGTTGTAACACGAATGGTTAGGCTCGACCGTGGAAGGACCACGCTCTCACAGAATACCAGCGTAAAATAGCAGCTTAATGCTGCTGTGTTTCGTATGATGATTGTAGAGAACTGGAGACCCTTTTTACTGGAAAGGAGGCATTCCATCTTAGTCCTCAAGGGTGACAACGCATCTGCATTTTGATTCGTAATGGAGAATAGATGTAGATGTTTATGGGCCACAGCAACCACTTACCATCAAGTGGACTGTGTGCTCGTTTATAACCTTTATCCTACAAAAAAAATTTACATTGTTTTAATTATAATGTCTACTCTGGATAATTTTTGGCACAACATATTTCACTATAGAACATGGTTGTCAGAGCCAGGAATGTTATTATGTGGGTTCTTTGGAATTTTTTTTTCGTTTTTATATAAATATTAATATTTTATATTAATTTTAAATAGGTATATATACTATGAACATAGCATTTCACTTTATTTTTTTTGTTTGATTTATTTTTATTAATAATATTTCTTAGTATCCTGCTGTGTGAAAGAGGAAGGACAAAGGCTATGAAAGCCACCCCTATGAAGTTTGATTGAAACTTATAGTTGTAACATTTTTTTTTATAGAATAGGGGGCAAACGAGCATGCGGCTCACCTGATGGTAAGTTACTACCGCCGCCCATGAACAACCGCAACACCAGGGGAATTGCAGATGCGTTGCCGGCCTTTTAGAAAGGTGTAAGCTCTTTTCTTGAAGGTTCCTAAGTCGTATGGGTTCGGAAAATTCGATGGTGGTAATTGATTCCACAAAGAAGTTGTGCGAGGGAGAAAACTTCTTCTAAATCGCACAGTGGTGGACCGCCAATCATCCAGATGGTATGGATGGTAACGCGAGTTTTGTCGCGACGTGCGATGGTGAAATTGAGCGGCTGGAATTAGTCCGAACAATTCCTCAGAGCACTCCCCGTGATAGATGCGATAAAATACGCAAAGAGATGCAACATCTCTACGCAGTGCCAGTGTATCGAGCCGATCGGAAAGAACTCGGTCGTCGACGATTCGAATCGCTCTGCGCTGGATGCGGTCAAGTGGAAGGAGCTGGCACTGGGGTGCCCCGGCCCAGAGATGAGAACAGTATTCCATGTGGGGCCGAACTTGCGCTTTGTAAAGTTGCAAGCGATGTGCCGGCATGAAATACTGTCTCGCTCTGCTGAGCACGCCAAGCTTTTTAGAGGCCAATTTGGCCTTCCCTTCCAAGTGACCACGAAACTGCACGCTATTCGATATGTCGACGCCAAGGATTCCGATACTGGCTGAGGCAGCAAGGGGAGTGCCTTGAAACTGAGGAGATACGACAAAGGGGTTCTTTTTAGCGGTAAACGCGCAAACTTGTGTCTTCTGGGGATTGAACTGGACTAGATTTAGTCGGCCCCAATCCGAGACTTTGTTAAGCAGACTCGACTTCAGACACAAGTTTGTCCCGGTACTCGGCGACGTTTTCCCGAGAAATATTGGCACGGCCGGTGTATAGAGCATCACCAGTGCTGTCATCCGCATAGCAATGAATGTTACCAGTTAGCAACATATCATTGATATGCAGAAGAAACAGCGTTGGTGATAGCACACAGCCTTGTGGAACACCAGCGTTAATAGGCTTGTAGTCAGATCATGCACCGTCTACTACGACCTTGATGCTCCGATCAGCAAGGAAACTGGTGATCCATTTGCACAATTTCTCGGGAAGCCCATAGGAAGGAAGCTTCGAAAGAAGCGCCTTGTGCCAGACCCGATCGAAGGCCTTCGCTATGTCCAAACTAACGGCCAATGTCTCCCCCTTGGACTCTACTGCCTCCGCCCATCTATGAGTTAAGTAAACTAGAAGATCACCTGCTGATCGACCCCGACGAAAACCGTACTGACGGTCACTGATCAGCTGGTGATCCTCAAGGTACCTCATGAGCTGGCAATTTATAATGGACTCCATTATTTTGGAGAACAAGGAGGTGATGGCAATAGGCCTGTAGTTGGACGGGTCTGAGCGGTCGCCTTTTTTAGGGATCGGGTGGACCAAAGCTGTCTTCCATGAATTCGGGACTACGCCGGAGTAGGAGTACCGGAAAAGACGCGTTAAAACCGGTGCCAACTCCGGAGCACACGTCTTCAGCACAATGGGAGGGACTCCATCGGGCCCACTCGACTTGCTGACGTCCAGGGAGAAGAGTGCTTTGCGAACGGAGCGCTGTGTAAATCGCACATCCGGCATGGAGCACTCACATCGCGGGATGGTCGGCGGTGTGTTCCCCCTGTCATCTAGAGTCGAGTTAGACGCAAAAAGAGAGCACAACAGATCGGCTTTCTCTTTTGCGGCATGAGCCAGTGAGTCGTCCTCTCTGTGCAGAGAAGAAAGGGATGGCTGACAGAAGTTCCCTTGGACAGCCTTGGCGAGAGACCAGAATGCACGGGTTCCCGAAGGAAGGCGAACTAGCTTCTCGCCAATTCTGCCGATGTGCTCAGACCTTGCCTTGGCAATGACGCTTTTGAAGGACCTGGAGGCGGAATTATACTTCTTTTTAAGTGCGCTGGTGTTCAAATCCCGAGACGTTGATGCGTCAGCCCAGGCCCGGTAGCACTCCTGCTTATAGCGTGATGCTATTTTACAGGAGCGACCAAACCATGACTGGGATCTGCCTCCGATGGGCACCACAGAGGATGGAATAAAAACTTCCATACCCTGAAGTACCACATCAGCAACAGAATCGGCAACAACGCTGGGATCTTCCGGCGAGAAGCAAACCCGCCCCCAAGGGTAGGATGCAAAAAAACACCGCATCCCGTCCCAATCAGCTGACCTATAGTGCCAAACACGGCGGCAAGCTGTAGATCGCAATTGCGATTGGAGCGTGAGTGGCACCGTGCTCCGGATCAGACAATGGTCCGAAGAGCTCAGAGGGGCATCGACGGAGACCTGATATCCGTCCGGATGAGAGGTCAGCAAGGAAGGTACATGGTCTTCCACATCTGGGATCCGCGTAGGCGAAGTAACCAGTTGTGTTAGACCATATGTCAAAGCAAAGTCGTAGACAGATCTACCCGCATGATCGGTTAAACGAGAACCAAGCCATTCAGCGTGGTGGGCGTTGAAATCACCGAGTATCACGATCTCTGCGGATGGGACCTGTTGTAGCACGGAGTCTGCAGCCATTTGGACGTGGTAGATGAGTCGGTCTGTGTCGGCATTACCGCTATGCGACCTATAGAGGCACCCGTAGACGCGGGGATGGTCGTCGCTGTCTACGCGCAGCCATAGGATGGACAGGTCCGTACCTTCAAGGCTGCCGAGGCGTCGAAAACAGATGTCCTCTCTGACGTATACACAAACTCCAGCCCAGGGCACAAAGGAGTGTTCCAATTTGTATCCCGGGTAGGAGAGATATGAAGTATCAGCCGGAGAGGACACCTGAGTCTCGGTTAAAAAGAGCAAGGCCGGCTTCGCCGTCTCTAGATGGTAATGGACAGCGTTAAGGTTGGAATGAAGTCCCCTGATGTTGCAAAAATTCACGGATAGCGTGACAGGGGTCGCCTTGGTTGTATTGCTCCGCTTGCCCCGAGCAGCATTAGTCGCGAGCGGAATTTTGCCCCCCCCCCCCCCCCCCAGAATACGCGGGGCAGCCTGAGCACCCACGCTCAGGAGTGAAGTAGTTTGGTCGTGGATGATCAGCGAGGGATTCTCCAGGGGTGCTGGTACCCTCCTGGGGTAGTCTTTTATTTAATTCCACTACCATGTTGATGGGGGGGGGGGGAATTGGGCCTCTGGGCACCTGCACCCACCAAGCACAACGCAGAGGTAAACCTCTACTTCACGCTGGTATTCTGTGAGGTCGTGGTACCACCCCGGTTCGAGCTGGCCCATCCGTGCGACAGCAAAAGCTACCGCTTGGCTCTACCAATTTTTATAAATGATATTAAGTCGGGGGACATATTATAGAGTGCATGGATGTGGTTTATTACAACTAAAACTATTTGGTCAATTCCTTAGAATCAACTATGTACTAGCGGTGTAAGAATATTAACTACCCTAAATCTCCCTGTGGGTGTCATAAGAGGTGACAGAGGGAAACACCGGGCCATCTCATTGTGTATTTTTCTCTGTCACCTCTACAAGCAATATTTTTCTATTAACAAATTTAAAAAAAATCTATAGTCGCCAAGTTTGGCAACAATGGCAAATATCCCCCTTGCAAAGCAATCAATAAGGAGGCCTATGTTCTGCAGTGGATTTTAAAAGGTTGTAATTATGATGATGATTAGGATGGCAACTGCCATGATGCTGCAAAAGTATAGGCCCACAGCCCTTACATTGAAGGGACTGCAAATCATTTGCTTCGAAACTAATTTCTATGAAAATAAATTATGATGCCTACAAAGATTCAGGAAATAGAATTATTTCTGTCATTGAATTTGGTTACAATTTGGTGACAGATTACTGACTCTGCTCCTCTTACATTACTTCCTTGAAATAACTCAAGCAATATGGTTGATGATGACAAATTGTGCTAATTTCAAAAAACTTAATAAGTTCATCATGCAAATGAAATTGACAAAAATATTGTAAAATTTAAAGGTAGAAACTTGTTGACTAACATCTAAAATGATACCCTAAAACCACATAAAACACAGTTATAATCTATACATATAATAAAAATGTAAATAGCAGAAGTCTGTACATTTTATATTTTTGTAATAAAAGTGATTGAAAGGTACTAAAAATAAGTAATTAAATACATTTCTACCATTTTTAGATTTTTCTGTCTGTCTGTCTGTTTGTTTGTTAACATATCATGTATAAAGTACTAATTTATATCATAAGAATAGTTAAGGAAATTATTAAGTGTATATTCAGGTTACATTTAGTCTTTATTTCATTA